TGTGCAAGTTGGTCTTGTTAGAAGCAGAACTTAACATGCATGCCCTGAGAATATGAGCACTTCCCTTTTTGTTGAGTTATGCATGTCCTATTTTTCTATGCTTACGTTCCCTGCAGAGATGTGCATGTGGTTGTATTTGTATTGTCTGGCAAGTCTTCTGTGTTCCCCTAATTAAATGCATGTAACCAAACAACTTGGTTGCTTTTGTGAAGAGCTAGAAAACACTTTTATAAGACTGGTGTAAGTGAAATTCAGTCAAAAGCACTACTGCAAAATGACAATAACTGAATATGGGACTGGATTATTTCATCCCCACTGAGGCTTTGATTCTAAATCTTGATCACGGGAGCAATCTAGACTGTCATGATTCTATTTCATTGTGACATGGGTCTAGCACTCATATAAAATCACGAGTATGCAAATTTTCTTTCTGTTCAGTAGGAACAATGCAGAAGTTGATATCTTCCGTGTTTTTTGGTTGTCTGACTATCATTTTTTTTCCTAGGAATACTGGCGAAAGAGTCCCTTTGACGTAATCTGGTTATGTGTGACTTTATTCTCACATCCACTTTTTGACTTCCTAATTTATGTAGTCTAAGTTAGCTGCAACGGGTGACGAATTTTGGAAGGAAAGAGAGGCAGCTGTTTTGGCTATTGGTGCAGTGGCCGAGGGTTGCATTAATGGTCTTTATCCTCATTTGCCTCAGGTATTAATGTGTTTGTTTATCAATACTGGTTCATTTTGAATATCTAGCTACTGTTTACATACACATGCTGTTAGCCATGTTTACCTTGTAAAACAATTCTAATATCTTTTACATGCAGATGGTGGAATTTCTGATCCCTCTTTTGGATGATAATTTCCCCCTTATACGAAGTATATCTTGCTGGACACTCTCTCGTTTCAGCAAATACATTGTCCAGGTATGGTCAGACAGTTTTTCTTTCGCTAAACATCCTCACCAAATGCAGCTTTCTTTTTCATGAAGTTATACCAGTTTCACCAGCTTTTCACTTCATAGTCGGGTCTAGCTAGTTGTAGCTGGATTGTTTTATGTGAGGTATTTTTCCATCGATTTCAGGAGAGTGGCCATAAGAAAGGTTATGAGCAATTTGACAAGGTTCTTTTGGGTATTCTGCGGAGAGTGTTGGATAATAACAAGAGGGTCCAAGAGGCTGCTTGTTCAGCTTTTGCAACACTGGAAGAGGTTCTTCTGTTATGTACTCATTTATCTTATTTTATGATCCTTCCTTTCTTTAATATCTAGGTGTTAATGATTCTACTATTCCAGGAGGCTGCTGAGGAGTTGGCCCCACGCTTGGAAGTCATTCTGCAGCACCTCATGTGTGCTTTTGGAAAATATCAGGTCCGCGGTCGGCCTTTTGCTCCTATTATTCGAAGTTTTTTTGATATGTTGCTGATTGAGCTTGGTTTTCTAGTTCACCTATTTACTGTTTAAACCCGTACTGCATTTACAGAGAAGAAACCTCAGGATTGTGTATGATGCAATAGGAACTCTGGCAGATGCTGTTGGAGTAGAACTCAATCAGGTAGTTTTAAGGTTCAATATTGCAGTGTGCTGATATGGTCCTAGGATGCCTGCATCTTTTTACATCTTTGAGGAACTCATTATTAATCATTCTAATACCTCGTTATTTGCAGCCAAAGTACCTTGAAATTTTGATGCCACCATTAATTGCGAAGTGGCAGCAACTCTCAAATACAGACAAAGATCTATTCCCTCTCTTAGAATGCTTCACATCCATAGCACAGGTGTGGATTTGAATTTCTATTTGCACCATACAACTGTTTTACCATCTGAAGTATGCTATAAGAGGTATCTTCCCATGTTGGAGCGTTGATGAGGATCATCTCTCTTTTCGAGTCTGTTACCAAGATTAGTGTCTTCCCAATACTAAATCAGATGTTCCTCTTGCTCCTTCACATTTCAAACGTGAGGTGTATCCATCAACTTAGAGCCAAGTCCAACATGTTTTGTGTTTTTAATTTGCCTTTGTGCCCATACTCCTGTATCCTTCTTCCTCGCTATCAGCAGAAGGTTTACTATCATCAATGGGAGATAAAAGTCTATGTGATATGTTAGTAAATCATGGAAGGACGTTATCAATTAGTCTTATAAGCGGGTGCACCAATTATTTTAATACTAGAATTTGTGTTTGTTTGTTTGTGATGTTAGTAAAAAGAAGGGAGTAGTTAATCTTTCAGATCAAGTTCATGTTCTTAGCCTTATGTTGAACGAAGTTCATTGCTAGGGCAGGCCCTTGTTCTCTTTCATAATGTTCATCTGATGACTTGTATGAATCTGGTTTAAATGCGGTAATTGAAGTTGAGACTCAGAATAATATGTTTTTGTCTCTTTCAGGCACTAAGTACAGGGTTCGCCCAGTTTGCCCAACCTGTATTCCAAAGGTGCATAGAGATAATTCACACTCAACAGTTGGCAAAGGTAAGCTTTGAATGGTTTTCATTTAATTTCTGCAGTTCCTTTTGAGTTAACCTTTTTTCCCTGAAATGTCATTGCAGGTTGATTCAGCTTCTGCCGGGGCTCTTTATGATAAGGAGTTCATTGTCTGCTCTCTGGATCTTCTCTCTGGACTGTCTGAGGGGCTTGGTAGTGGAATTGAGAGTTTGGTAATCATCTTCCTTTAGCATATCCTTCTTATGTTAGTCAACAATTTACCCGTCCACAAATGAGAATGTTGGTATTAATTTTCTTGGTTATATTCTCTTCAGGTAGCACAAAGTAGTTTGAGAGACCTGCTCCTGCAGTGCTGCATGGATGGTGCTTCTGATGTTAGACAAAGTGCATTTGCTCTTCTTGGAGACCTTTCTAGAGTAAGTGGGACACTTTCTTCTATCAGCCCTTGAATGTTAGTAGGTGTTGCACAGGAGCTGGAATTATGCAAGTCTTTTAGTAAAATTTCCTAAGTTGCAGTTGTTCATTATACATACTTCTATCTCACTTTAGGTTTCTTTGATTGTTTATTCCTTATTTTGGTATTCCTCAGGTATGTGCTGTTAGTTTGCATCCTCGTTTACCAGAATTTCTAGACGTTGCAGCTAAACAATTGGTTAGTAAAACAAACTTCATAAATAGCAAACAGTTTTTATTTAGAAAACAGTTCATTGATTTGATAGATCATCCATGCAGAATACTCCTAACCTGAAGGAAACTCTTTCCGTAGCCAATAATGCTTGTTGGGCTATTGGAGAGTTAGCCGTTAAGGTATGTCTCTCTTTTTCTATCCTGTAGATTCTCTCATGAGGTTAACTAGACCATGAAATGCTTTATACCTGAGAAGATAACTAATTAATATGTTTCCCCTTGAAATTTCAGATTCAAAAGGAGATCTCCCCTGTTGTTGTCAATGTCATCTCGTACCTGGTGCCAATTCTACAGCACTCGGAGGTATTACTGTCCATCTTACTGCATACTTGTATGTCCTGGTGAGTTATATCTGAATGGCCTTTCCCGGATCTCAAACCAGGAGCTGAACAAGTCACTTGTAGAAAATACTGCAATCACACTTGGAAGACTGGCTTGGGTTTGCCCTGAGTTAGTGTCCCCCCACATGGAGCATTTTATGCAACCTTGGTGCATTGCTTTGTCTATGTAAGCCGGCTGGATTCTGATTTAAAATATCTTGGTGGGTATGTGTTGTGTCAATGCAACCTGAGCAGTTGTTGGGTTATATGTGACAGGATACGTGATGATATTGAGAAAGAAGATGCCTTCCGGGGTCTATGTGCAATGGTAGGTGTCTCATTTGCTAATGATATCTTTTGTCCTAGACTGACTTTGTTAAAGGAATGCAAGAATTTGTTGCTTACAAGTAATTCTCCTTTTACTTCCAGGTCAGAGCTAATCCATCAGGAGCTCTAAGTTCACTTGTCTTCATGTGCAAAGCAATTGCAAGTTGGCATGTAAGTGTTGCTTTTTACTATAAAAAACTGATTGCTCTAGAGATAAAAATCTTCTCACATCGACATAACTGTGGATACAGGAAATAAAAAGTGAAGATCTACACAATGAAGTTTGCCAAGTGTTGCATGGTTACAAACAGGTTCGTCTTTTTCTCATTTCACTCTTTTTTTAATGCTTCCTAGTTCACGTTTACGTCTGAGAAGGTTAATTTCTGAATCAAATCACATTGTCGAATTCATGATTTAGAGCCAACGCCTTTGTCGGCTGAGTTTTTGTTCAACAAATGGAATTATATTGATCGTTTGATGAATATCACAGCAGATGCTTAGGAATGGAGCATGGGACCAATGTATGTCTGCTTTGGAGCCCCCAGTAAAGGAGAAACTATCCAAGTACCAAGTATAAATACTTCAAAAAACACTGGAAATGATTGTGAAGGTCATAACTTTGTGCTGTCCGTACGATTGGAGCCATGAGTTATTATTTGAGCATGGACCCATCTTGGTCATGAAGATTCTTTCCCAGCCAAAGAATCACTACTGGTTGCCATGATTTGATATTCCTTGAAGCTTGCAGCAAAATTTAAAGCCCTGGTCAACTTCAACGGAGAGCGATAGAGCTGGTTGCATCTGGGGAAAAAATGTATTTATGTTTGATGAAAGAAGATGAACCGTTGTGTGGAAATATGCGGAAACTCTGTACAGGGGTGCTGCCGTGCTGTAGCTTCACAAGCTTTTGGGTTCACATACTACTTGTTGTTAGTGATCATGTGGGAATCATACATCATTAAAGTTTTTCAGTTCCTGGGGTTTCTTTTTCATTTTTTTCGTGGTCTGCTGGTTCTCATTTTTCTTGGGTGGTGCCACAGATTTTGTAGGGTTGGGTTGTGAAAGAACACCGGTTTCACCATTGCCTTAGTGAAGTCTTTAAGGTAGGAAATGGGGGTTCAGTAGGAAATTTTTGTTTAGATTTGGAATGGTTGTATAAGCAAAATTGTGTATGTAACAGTCATCTTCTTGAACTTATCTAAACAACTTCACTTTTTTGGTATCCTTTGCAACATCTTCCTTGTTACCTTATCATAGAGGTCCGAGATTTTCAATATCTTACATCTTGGCAAATCCTAATGTTACTAGGACATGATCATGCAGGCAATTATCCCTTCTGTTGCAAGGATTTTCTATTTAAAGTTCTCCTAGAATGCCATGGCATTAATCCACAGAAGTTATCTGTAACAAAAACAAAGAAGGATTGCTCTCATGTTATAGATGCTGTGTACACGGAAAATCTCTCAATCAACCAGTAATGTGACTATTCATTCAGATGACAAAACACAGTGGCGACATCGACAACATTCAACATTGATGGAAGGTGGTCAGGCAAACTGACTGGTTCTGTTTGACATCTCTAATGTCCAGAAGCCATGCTGCACTTGGTGACTACCTTAAAATCAAGATTTTCAATAAAGATCCTTCAAGCGTGGAGGCTTATCATTTATCATCCAGACCTGGAAGTGGCTGGCAGCGCCTGGCGCTGTATGGGAGATCTGCAAAAGTGAATCTCACGGTGTTCTCCTCAGAAACAACGCAAGCAAATAGCACAAAATGGAGTCAATTGATGAGAGCGCAACAATGAGCAGTGCAACGAGGACAAGAGTGAGAGTAGCAGTCTTCAGCTGCAAAAGGAAAGAAGAAATAAACCCCATCAACAGCAAAATCTCAAGGCTTGATATCGGAAACAAATCTCGAGGCTTGGACGATCCACGATGCTTGTTATTTGTGTTTGTGAGTATGAACTAAGACCATGACATGGGACATACTGTGCTCTGAAAACCTGGCCATTCCAAGTGCTTGAGCTGGCTCGGTTGTTCTACGAGGAATGCAAATAGAGATTTCAAACCCCTGAAAGAAGGGAAACCACATCATCATCATTCCCTCATGATAACATAAATCTTATCATTTTCCACTACGAAATTATCACATCCTGAAACTATGAAACAAATCAATAAATCTTTACCAAATGCCTTCCTTCATAAGGCTTATCCAAAACGGATCCTCCTTGGGTAATTCATCTTCATAGCTGCTCAATTGGTAGTAACCATCCCTCCCAGCAGCAGATGAAATGTGCTTATCGCGAAAATCCCTCACAAGATACTTGTGGATCGCTCCTCCGGAAATCTATTAAGATCATGGTACCAAATGCTAACGATTTCTTTCAAGAAGCTCCAACCCAAGAGCAAGTAAAAGAAAGAGCAAAAAGAGAGATAACTACCACTCCTCTTCCCAACCGACATGATTTGATTTCAACCACCGTTCGATTCAATGTCTTATTCCCATATGGAAGTCTAGAAACACCAGCAACTCGCAAACCTAGGAAAGAACCAGAAATGGCCAAGTTCAGACAACAGCACACACACACTGTGAACTCATGAAATGAAACTTGAGAATCAAAGGTAGAGACCGAGAAAGCCTGTATAACTGCCATGAATCCCCGAAACAGAAGTAGCCATGTGCGAGCTCTTTGTCAACATTTACTCCACCTACAAACACAATTACACCTTCAATTCAGCCGCCAGACACAACCAAGGCACTCAAAAATTTTGCTTACAGGAACGATGAACTGCTAAGACTTGTTAGAGGGATTCCATTAAATCGAGTGTTTATCACAAAACTAGGAGCAAATCCAAGAAACGGAGACGAAATTCGCCAGCTTTTCCAAAGGGGGTTTACTTCACCTTCGGAGCTCAACCGACGGACTGGAGTTTCAAGAACTGAACTTCTCCACAGTTTTCAGCCGGAGTTTTAAAGTTCGAAGGTGCGGCACCGGAAAGGGAACGTTGAGATTCTAGACCGTCGGCGATGACTGAGATATAAGTGGAGCTCCGAGAAAGTTTCAGAGCTTCCCCTCCAATGCCCGGTAACAACTAGCAATCCGCAGGGAGAGCCAAGCAGAAAGGCGAAGAGAAGTCGGTCTGGGCCGATAAAAACACCAACTTACCTTTGTTTTGAGCCCATGTCGTTTCCAACCTCAAGCCCAAAATAGGCTGCAATAATGAGCCGGTCTGTTTTGACAAAAAAAAGTTTCATTTACATTAACATTTGAAGAAAAAAATTAGATTATATATAAAAAAAATCATACAATATTTGTTGGGTTAAAGAAACATTTGGTCACTGAGATTACAAAATCGGGACATGTTTAGTCACTAGAAAAAGTTAATATCAAATTTGGTCACTACAATTACTAAAACTGGACACATTTAGTCACTCGCCGTTAGTCTCCGTCCAACTCCGTTAATGAAGTCCGTTAAGTGCTGATGTGGCAAACAAAATTGCCTAATCAGCCGGATATAACCCAACAAAAATAAAACCCGACCCGCCACAGCATTAAAATCAACCCAACCCAACCCATGACCCAACCCCACCCAAACATTCTTCCTCCTTCCTCCCACCTCGGCACCTCCCACCTCCTTCTTTCCCCAAAACCGCCGCCGCCGCTCTCCTCCTTCCTCCCACCTCCTCCCGCAAACCTGTTCGACCTAACCCAACAGAGCAATCCTTCACCATCCCTCACCAAATCTGTTCGTCTCCTCTGATACATTTCTTCCCCCAAATCCCAACCCACCCAAAAAACCCCCTTTCCCACTTCTTTCCTCTCAGCCTCATTTTCACTTTTACTCCTCACAACTACCATCACTGATCTCTCCAGGAGCAATGGTGTCTGAACATCAATCGTCACCTCTGGCGAATCAAAACCCTAGCTTCAATTACAAGAGGGCTTATCATGTAGGAGGAATCCCAGTGGAGTTCCCATACCAGCCGTACGGAACGCAGCTGGCGTTCATGGGTCGGGTCATTTCGACGCTGGAGCGAGCCCAGAGGGAGGGGCACAGCCATGCTTTGCTCGAGTCTCCGACGGGTACCAGGAAATCTCTGTCGCTCCTGTGTTGGACTCTGGCATGGCAGCAGACCCAAAAACTGAAGAATCAGTACGGGAATCTTACCCACTCCAAACCCGATCCTGAGGCGATGAGCGATCCTTTGGGTCATGGCGGTGGGTTCGTCCCTGAAACGCAGCCTTCGAGTAAGCGAAGTGAACATTTGCAAGATTGTGGGTGAATTCCCAATAGTGGGATTTAGCACTTTCTTCTTCTAGGGTTTTGATGAAATCGGGTTGACGATGGATGTTGTTTTTAGAAAGAAGGGTTGGGTGGGGTTAGGTCATGGGTTGGGTTGGGTTGGTTTTAATGACGTGGCGGGTTATAATGACGTGGCGGGTCGGATTTTATTTTTGTTGGGTTATATCCGGCTGATTAGGCAATTCTGTTTGCCACATCAGCACTTAACGGACTTCATTAACGGAGTTGGACGGAGACTAACGGTGAGTGACTAAATGTGTCCGGTTTTAGTACTTGTAGTGACCAAATTTGATATTAACTTTCTCTAGTGACTAAACATGTCCCGATTTTGTAATCTCAGTGACCAAATGTGTCTTTAACCCATATTTGTTTGGAGATACTGGGTATGGATTTTCCCAGAATTGCATACTGGTTGGTTTTGGTATATGACATTTTACATTTCCGCACAATTTTGATTACGAGAATGGTTACGATTTTAAAACTGTGATTCAGTAATGGTATATATGAAAATCGTCCCCACCCGAACTTGTTGCCATCCCAACTAGTGAATCCTTCTTCCCGCAGGGCAAACATCAGTATAAGTTCCTCTTCTGTCTCTTCGAGATTACAAGACCGGGAAGGAAAAGGAGTTAACACATCAGTATAACTTTTTATGAGTTAACTGACGTTTGATTCGAAATTATGACATTTCGTTTCTTGGTTCTGATACAATGTTAGCGAACTGACCACTTGATCTCAATAACTCAAATTATTAGAAAATATTTTGTTAAGTCTTTTTAATCTCCATCAATTGATTTGCTTCTTCCTTTTCTCATGCGATATTCTAAAGTTACACCAATAAATTCCAAGATAAAAATTAATCTAAACATCAAACAAAGGTTTTTGAATTGTTTGTTATCTGAACCAAAAGTTAAATGTAACAAAATCTTTAAGGGACAAGAACTAAGAAGCCGGCCTAGCAGCAGGACGTGCATTTTTCACTATTTACTTAAAACTAATTACGTACACCAGTCGATCTCTTCCGTCTAAACCCTGATCTCATCTTGGAGCCAAGGATAGTAAGTCACTCTTGCGTACAACGACCGGTCGTCGGGAGTTGTCGCCGCCGGCATCTGAACGCATGCAGGCAAACAAAACAGAGAAGATTGCATACGTACGATAATTAGTACTGATCGAAGGGCAGAATTAGCTCGAAGTATGCATTATTGCAAATATATACGTACTTAAGCGGTGGAAGAGAGCAGGCCCTCGAATATTGTCGTGGAACAAGTAACTTATCACAGAGTTAAACTCTTTAATGGTGGGTATTCCACCATAGAGCTCCACAAGCTTCATCCTTTGGAATGGAGAAGCCTGTTCTTCCAGCAATCCCGGAACGCAGGTTAGCGCCTGCAGGATGACATCAGATGGAAAAAAAAAAGTCAGATATTTTAGAATAATATTTATCGTCCAAACTATCGAGAATATCACCCTCTCAATGTATCCGCCAGCTAGAATCATCTATGAAAGCATCAAATTATGTCATAGAATATGTTAGATGTTAAAAGAATGAACCATAAAGTCGTGGAGGTTAGTGATGACGGGTTAAGATCATAGTACTAGTTCAAATAGAGAGGTCTTTTATGTTATAGTAGAATATGTTAGATGTTGAATATTGAACAATAAAGTCGTCGATAGGTTAGTGATGACGGGTTAAGATAGTACTGGTTCAAACAGGGAGGTATCTTCTGTTCGAATCTCTCTTTCAGCAAACCTAAACCTGTTGATGCGACTTGAATCGCGGATCATCAGCAGCCGCTACGATTGGAAGCCACGGAGGGGTTTCGCAGGGCCTGGTTGCTGTAACTGCTGTTTTCTTTAGCATATTGAATCAGGGTTAAACCATATGGAGAAGTACTATAAATAGTTCTCAGACTCCTCTGTAATCTGTATCCCCTCAAAGTACAGTGAAACTGGCTCTCTCCTGCTCGTGGGCTAGCTAGCTAGCTAACACACATTGTGTTAGTAAACCATTGATCGTATATTTTTGTCAGTGTTTGCACGGTTAAACGACAATTCCAACTTCCAACACAAAAATACCCTATTATTGGCGTTTCAAGTACGAACTTTCGATATGATTTTGCAATCCATAACATCAAATCTCTCCAATGTTCAGCGATCCTCTTTCTAGATCGCCAAACAATGCAAACGATATGTGCCAAAGTTATGTACATTGAGAATTTTTTTAGGTAATTATGGTACTGTGAGATCGAATTTCTTTCAACAACTTTGGTATTGTAAGGAGAGAAGAAAAAAAATCACTGGAAAGAGAGAGTTTTCAAAATTGTACTGCATAAACCGCCTAGTACATCCTAGGCTTAAACATGTACCTTGATGGAATTGGGAGACAGCTTGACACGCTCTGCGTTGCCGAACTTCTCGAAGACGCGGACGAACATAAGACTCGACTCCTCCGCGGTAATTGGATAGGCGTAGTCCACCCTCAGCCGGGCGTCCAATTCCAACGATTCCAGCGACGGGAGGTCCGCGCTCACAGAGTAATCGAGGTAGATTCCCCTGCACGTCAGGAACCGGCAGCACGACGCGGAAATCTTGAACCGAGGCTGCGGCGGCGCCGTGTCGGAGAACACGATGACGATCTCCGCCAGAAAGTTCCCCGACACCGTGACGGCGGCCGCCTCGAACTGGCAGTCGGCCAGCTCCAGCTTCTTCAGGTACGGGATCGAATCGAACGGCGAGGAGGAGGAATAGGAGGAGGAGGATCGCCGGATGACGCAGCGGTGGAGGCGGAGTGACGTCACGGACGCGAAATTCGAGGCAATGGACCGGAGTTCGTCGAGGTCGAAGATGAGGAGGGAGAGGTCGAGGTTTTGGACGGCGGAGCAGAGGCAGGCGAATCTCGCGGAGAAGTATACGGGCCGGTTGGCGGTTTGGGCTTGGGCCGAGAACCGGAGTGTTGGGACTCGGTGGGCCGGGCCGTAGTCGTGGATTCGGTCCAGCACGCGGGCCCATTCGGTGGAAATGGTGGTGGTGGCGGCGACGTCGGCGGTTGCTGCTGCTGTGAGGGAGAGGAGGCGGAGCGGGGAGCGGGGGTCGCGGTGGTCGAGCGCGTTCTCCACGAGCCGGTGGAATCGGGCCGGGGGGATCCCGGCGGCTTCGAATCGGAGGGACGGGGAGGATTTCCAGAGGGAGGGGAACGACTTCCAGAAGAGGCGCCAGCGGGTGTTGAAGAGGGTGGTGCGGACGGCGGTTACCATGTCGAGCTCGGCGGCGGTGAGGATGGGGAGGAGGAGGTCGTCGGAGAGTTCGCTCAGCCTGTCGACGACGTCGGGTTGGTGCCCTTTTGTGGGCGTTTCTTGGGGGCTACTCTTCTTCGCCATTGTTGTTGTGTACTTCTCAGTGAGAGCGCATGCAATAATTTTTTAGGGTTTGAGCGAAACACATATATGAGATATACTTAGCTTTGGCAGGCGGAAAGACAGGGAAGAAAATAGAATAGGAAAAGTTTTGTTGTTACAAGGGGTGACAACTGAAGAGTCAGTTTATTCGCGTATTTTTTGTGCTCTTTCACCGCAGTAATTAGTATTTATTCACGTAAAACTATACTATTTACGTAAGAGTAGGAGTGGAGGTTTGGTTTCCGGTTTTCGGTTAATCGATAGGTTAAACTAATAAATGACCGGTTATTCATTAACCAGTAACCGATATAATCGAAATTTGGTCGGTTATCAAAGGCTAGACGAGATGGTTTTGGTCCTGGAGGAGGTGTGGTTAACCGAGATAACCGAAACCTATTTCGGTCGTTTGTCGGTTGGGGGGGCCAGCTTTCGGTTTTTTTTTTTTTTATGAAGGTGATGAACTATATTACGAAAAGCAAATCAAAAGTTCAAAACAAGAGTCCACAGCTTCACGAGGAGTGAAAGCGAACACGCCTAGAGAAGGAAAAAGAACGGAAAAAACGAGAGCAAGAAAGAAACTACAACCGTAAAGAGTGCCCAAAACAGAGCAAGCCCAAAGACTACCCGACCCAAATCCCGCCCAGGAAGCCTCAACCAGCGAAACCAGAGAAGGAAAACCCAGCAAACCCGAAAGCAGAGGCCTCCCAAAAAAACCTTATCCATCACCTACAGCAGCAGATTCAGCCCTCCTGGCAGAGCACCAAGTCCTAAACCACTCTATACACCAATCCTTGTCAACAGCGCCAGAAGCAGCAACCCACTCAAGAATGACCCTGATTATCTTGCCAGCAACGATCGTTCGATTAACCGGTTATAATCGAAATAACCGAAAATCCACCCCTACGTAAGAGTATAAGTTATTCACCACGTAAATGAAAATCCAGACTTTTTTCTACTACTAATTTGTATTGGCTGTATTTTATGGAAATAATTCCCTGTTAATTTGTAAAAATGTGTTGCATTGGTCATAATCTGCACAGTGACATCCATTTTTTATATATATATATTCAATGTTTAAAATTTGACTTTACAATGGCTTGAATAAGTAACAATATGGCGCGCGAATAAACACTAGGGTGCATGACTAAACAATATTGGTTGAGTGGATAATCTAACACTCTTACGCGAATAACGCCAATATGACGTGAATAAACTCAAATTTATACGAATAAATGAAAACATGGGCGAATTAGACGTTTTGTCTCTAGAGGTTACAAAAGACTTCTCTCAATAAAATATTGCTAAAACGAATTAAGGGTAATAGAGGGGTGTATTCTAGTCATTTCCAGCCCATTTAACAATCGTTTAACAGAAAATTAGATGGAATAGTATATCCGTTATGTTTTCATATTAGAGCCGTATGTATGTTTGTGTAAAAGGAATTAACCAATTGATTAATAATTGTCATATTATATTTTGGATGTGGCTGGCTAGCGGCTACCATTTTCAACCAATCAAGGTTGAACCGACCTTGCAACTTGAATCAAATGGCCAAATAAACCAAAAAGTAGAAGAAAGATACGACTAGGCTACTAGTCCAAAACTACCCCCACCAAGAAAAAACCAAAGGAAAATCCCACTCCTCTTTCCTTTTGTTTGCGCTTCCTTCTGCTCTTCGCAGCCACCTCCGGTAGGCGGCTTCCCCAGGAGCAATGGCGGTCGGCGTCCTCGCCTTACAGGGTTCTTTTAACGAGCACATTTCCGGTAACCTCCTTTCCCATCTCTTTACCTCTTCACAACCATCTATTCCGCTTCGCATAATTGGGTTTCTGATGTGGGCTCTAAAAATTGTACCTTTTGTTGTGCTGTTGTTGTTGACAGCTCTCGGCCGATTGGGAGTGAAGGGTGTGGAGATTAGGAAGCCAGAGCAGCTCGAGAACGTCAGCTCGCTCATCATTCCTGGTGGGGAAAGCACCACCATGGCCAAGCTTGCCGAGTACCACAACATGGTAAAATTTCAGCCACGTCTCTGTGTCTGTGTACCAATTCGTGAACTTGGTTGGCCTTTTTTCTTTTTTTCCATCTGTAGTGTGTACCTTCACGATAAGCACAGTCGTCCACGGCGGTTTCCAATCGATTTTGTCATGAAAGATTGAAGCTTTACATGGTTTGGTTAAATAGGCATGTAAACACTGTGATTGTTCATTTCCTTTCTGATGATAGTATCAGTCGTTTGTGTTTACCTTAATTTCGGGTTTTTTGAGGATATCAGCTTCGCTCACTCAAAATCTTTGTCAATCTTGTTTCTTTGAATTGTACTACTGAATAGGCCTTTAAGCCTATTGTGCTACCCTTTTCTCTCTATTTGAGCTCTCGTTATTGTTGTGTGTCTCAGTTTCCTGCTTTGCGCGAGTTTGTGAAGATGGGGAAGCCAGTGTGGGGGACATGTGCAGGTCTAATCTTCTTGGCAGACAAAGCCGTCGGTGCGTTTCCATTTATCTCTATGATACTCGATGTTGGATTCCACGGCTGAAACTGGATTCATTCATATGGCTGGTCTTTTCATTGTATCCCATAGGGAAAATTGAGCTTCTAAGTAGTAGTGAATGGCATGCTTTGTTTTCAGGACAGAAAACTGGAGGTCAGGAGCTAGTTGGTGGCCTCGATTGCACTGTCAATAGAAATTACTTTGGCAGTCAGGTAATGTTGGAAGTCACCTTAAGAACCCTTAAATGTTGAGATGATCGGGCTACTATGCATGCTTGGGTTGTTGGACATGAACCAATGAAAACTTTTGTATCATTGTACACCTTGGAAGAGATCTTCTGGGTGATAGCTTACTGCAAATGAATTCACCCCTTCTTTGAGAACCAGGCAATTAATTAGACAACACCTGTTCTGTTCAGATTCAAAGCTTCGAGGCAGAGCTTTCAGTCCCAAAACTTGTGAGTCAGGAAGGTGGGCAGGAAACATATCGAGGTGTGTTCATCCGTGCTCCAGCTGTGCTTGAAGTCGGACCAGGAGTCGAAGTATTGGCTGAGTATCATGTCCCATCTGCTAACGTATTGTATTCCAGTTCTGCTGTTCAAATCCAAGAGGTAGGTAACATGGTCTTCCCTGCGTCATTTGATCATGGAATCAATTTTATATATAGCAACTAAGTTAATGTTTGCTGATAGTGGAATGACAAAAGCTAACTTCGAAAGCATACATCAAACAAGTTTTTCAATCACACTTGTTTATTTCCACATTAGGTCTAAATGTTTGGAACCCTGCTTTGAAAAGTGTAGTATTGGCAAACCGCGAACCAGTCATTATTTACGCACATCAACCCATTTCTGTTGTGCTATTCTGTTTCTATTTGAAGTTGATTTCTCGTGGACCCTTGGAAGTAGATTAGGAAATTAGTAGGTGAAACAGGGAACATACAATGTTAATGTACTGTATACACACCAGAATGTGGTTCATTCATGTTCAGTATACAATGCATTCCAGTTGTGCTGAAAATGATTCATGTTAGCATAACTTTTTAAAGGTCTGCGTCTGAATTGGAGTGTTTGGAGCTGTGTAGGAAAATGCTGTCCCTGAGAAGAAAGTCATTGTAGCAGTGAAGCAGGGGAACATATTGGGGACTGCCTTCCATCCTGAGCTCACTGCAGATACACGGTGGTATGTTTACCTTCCTTCCATGGTTTTTTCGGTGGCATGCCACGTTGTTTGCTTCTCATGTATTTTGTGCTATGCAGGCATAGCTATTTCCTAAAGATGGCAAATGAAACTGGAGAAGCATCCTCGAGTAGCCTTGTCCCTGCCATTGGAGTAAATGCAGCCATTGGAGAAAGACCGAGGATTGACCTACCGGTTTTCCAATAGAGGCAGCAGCAGTGCCCTGTTTCTTAGTTACAGCGCACGTTTCTTTTCTACCAGAAGAAACTGGCTTTTGTCTTTCACACAGAAATCCAATTATGCTGATTCCTTCATCTAGTTGGGACTTAGGAGGTTAGCCACGAATTCCGACTTGAAATGTATATAAACAGCTCATTTGTTCTTCTCCGTTTGAAATCAAGTCTTTTACTAGGCCAAGCTATGGAAATTGAATCTCTCCAGAAAAAGGAAACAGAGAATCTCTCCACCTTAAGCTTTAGACCTTTAGTGAATACAGAAATCAGAAATGTTGCCTCTGCCTAAAGCTTCCGTTACTAAATACATGGCTGGAAGCCGATGAACTTGGTCTAGCACAAAGTTCTCCACCTACAGTGCTCATTAGCTCTAATGACACAGATTAACCAGAGTATAAACGAACACATGATGGTCTCAGCGAGCTGCTTAGACAACATGATGTGTAACGTACGAATACAATATACAATAATCAATCCCTCTATCTAAACACCCCACTCTACTAAAAGATTAACCAAACCCTAAACAAATTACCTCTTTGTCACCGGGCTTCCCTTTCTTCAACCTGGGAGGAGCTCTCCACACATGGTTGACTCTCCATTTTCCCATTGCTCTGACTGCAGCTGGTTACTACAAGGTCATTATACATGTTCATGGAAGCCTTGGAGAACTCGGTCAACGCCTTGAAAACACTGGAAAACCCTGTCTGAAACCCACTCAAGGTGACCCTGGAAGTCTCCTGGACATAGTTGTAATGCTTCTCCCTCTCCATCTCAACCTTCTTCTGCAAGAAATCCAACTCGTCTTTCCTCTCGGCCAAATGCTCGAAAGGGTTCACCGAATTAACATTCTCCTCTCCATTATTATACTCGATGAGCTTGGTCTCAAGCAACCGAGTCTCGGTCCTGTGAAACGACACGGTTCTCCTGTCAAGCATCTTGCCCAAGCTCTCGACTTTCCTCTTCTGCTTCTGCTCTTCCCCTTGCTGAACCCACAATGCCCTCACATCTTTGGCAAATCCCTTCAACGCGAACGACAAGTGTACTTCTGGCAGCTTTTCCATCGATGAGAGCCATTTTCGACAGATGGTGAGCAGTGGAGGGCCCGGGGGAGCTTGAGAGGGAAGGGATGGTGAGCTTTGACCAACTCTTCTGGTTCTGGAGTAGAATTCAACTTCAGGGACCAAGAACTTGGTCAGCCAGCTGTGGAGGCATGCCACGTAGGATCTTGATGCTGTGACATAATCTGTGAAGCAGGTGCGCCAGTTGAGAAGCTCGGCCTCGAGCTGGAGGGTGGCAAGACGATGGGAGTCATTGCTGAACTTCCCAGCTGAGGGACATTCAAATGTTTTTACTTGAGAAAGAATCTTGTTCTGGTTTTCATGGGATTCCAACATGATCTTCCAAGTGCGGGTTAGGCTGCAAAGTAGAAGACAACTTAGAAATTGGAACAAAAGTACCAGTTCAATTCTGTAACTAAACAACTTACCCTTTTAACAACTCTACAATTTGAGGTTCCAGTTCTTCATCTCTCAACCTCTCGATTCTGTTCGAGATCGATTCAGCACTACGAACTGCTACGAGAATTCGAGCATAAAGGTCCTTGATTGCAGCTCTTGTTTTGTCCATGTTGAGTTCATCCTCGCCTCTCACATCATGGCTTCTCAGCCTTGAACATTTCTTCTCGTATAGCTTTCTTGTTGCATCTCCAGCCTGGAGGAATGAAAAAGAGTGAAGCATATGACATGGAGAAAGGTCAGGACATGAAGGAGCAGAGTCATTTACCTTGACTTCTTCATAAAGTTTCTTTTCCCATGCATACAACCTTCCAAGCGTTGAGGAATGGCTTCCAGCATTCATCCCTCCACAACCGTCGAAGAGATCGTTTGTGTATTCCGTCCATGTCGATGTGCTTCTAGAGCTAGAAGCCACTAAGCTTTTGCATGAGGGTCTGAACGAGGTTGACCTGTGCCATGGTAGAGCTAGGATTGGCTTGTTAAAATTCTCTGCAGCAACAAGAAATCAGAGTTGGTTCACAAGGAAGGCTAATGTGGATAAATTAAAGAATGAGACATGAAACAATGGAGGCATGGAAAAGGAGAATCAGGCAATGATAACCAAGGATAAATAGAGGACAAAGATATCTCTGGTTCAATCACAAGAGACACATATGAAAAGAAAGTTGTCAAGTGTTGACTTGCTGTCTAACCTTTTCACAACAAATGATTCCTAAGTTCACATGAAAGAATCTTCAAAGGGGAGAAACACGGATAAAGTTAGGTGCAAAAATATATGAACTTGTGGCAGCATTCCTCATCTTTGTTGGAAGTTTACATCGTCATAAGACACATATTGCCCCCAATCCGAAATTCAGTCTATCACCATGGCTATTCAAACCATCATATTGCAAAGAAAGATCAGGATCAAACTTACAGAGCATTGAACACCAAAAAGAGAGCACAACGCTACCTTTCATTTCCTCCATCCCAGACTGCAAGTAAACCTTATTCGCCTCAAGCATCTTGGAAACATCCTTGCCAGAGTCATAAGCTCTAATGAAATGATCCTCAATGTCCTTCAGAGCATCCAACAGTTCCCTCCCTTTTTCTGGTGACTCCATAACTGAATGCCTCTTCTGTTCAACTGAGCTTCCATCCCCATTATTCCCATCACGCACCTTAACCAAATCCCCACCATCAAAACCTTCTCCACCTTTCCCTTCCTCAGCAGCAACAAACACCCTTTGCTCATTTCCATTCTCTCTAATACTCCCTTCTTCCTCCAGCTCAGGAATGCCTTCTTGCTCCCTCACCACCCTCAAATTATCATCCAAACTCCTCCTGTACCCATTCATAACCTCTGGCTTCATCACATCAAAAGGGTTGAAGAAATCCCACCCAAAATCTCCACCTGGCGACTCTTGAACCACAGCTTGCTGTGGTGGCATTTGCATGTAGTAGTACCCATAACTCTGATGCTCATGCTCTTGTTGTTGCTGCCTCACCATCTCTTCTGTACATTCTTCTTCCTCGCTGGAATCCGAGGAAGTTGTTGATGAATCACAAGACTCACAAGCATTGGCCTCTTCAATGGTCGACTCAGAAGGCCTTTCTTCAATAAACATTGGGTTGTTTACCACGTTGCTTTTATTCCCTTCTTCTTTAGGTTGGCAAGCAGATGGGCTGTGAGGTGGGAATGTAATGAGGAATGGTGAAGCTGGTGAAGCATGGCGAGCCACGAACAGCTTTATTGCTGCTGCTACTGCATAGAGAGATTGACAGTACCTGCAGTGAGCTTCTGCTAGTGCTTGTCTCTTCTCTACTGCTAGCTTCAGCTGCCGTTTCCTCTCCTTGCAAATAGACACCACTTCTTCTTCTTCTTCTAGCTTGGAGGCAACACATCCCATGTTTTTCTGTAGTTTTTTTGTCACTCTTCCAAGTTAAAACAAAAAATAAAAGAACTGGGGTTTGACTGGCTTAGATGTTGCTGCTTATTTTTGGACTTTGGGCTTTTTGTGCAGGCGTGGGAGGTTACTACTGTATCTTCTTTATTTTAGAGTGATGGAAAGTTTAAAGTGAGAAAAGGTGGTTTTCTTCTGTGTTCCTTTCGAAGAATCCGCTTATTCTTCTTTGGGGATGAAAAGGGAGTTGGCAAAAACAAGGTTTTGTTTGTTGTTGAAGGATTTTCAGAGGGACGGGGAGGAAAATGCTGCATTTTCTGTGGGTATTCCACAGCTAGAACCTCCATATTTATTTAGAAAACACCGGATGTCAGCTGAAAGCTTCAATCTTTGGGGTGTTTGAGAACAACCCATTTCATCTCTTTGCCTTTTAGGGAGAACACAAAATCTTCTGCACTGAAATGAGCCTAAACTGGATTAGCAGAAAACAAAAGGAGAAGGGTAGGAAAGAAAAAGGGGGAATGGTGTGGGGTTCTTACTCTGATCCACTAGACCATCATAAACTTGCTCCAAAAATGTGATTTTGTTCAGCTACTGCTCACAAAAGAACTCAACTGGGTAAAGGTGGGTTTCTTCGGTTTGACATTACCAAAACAGATGGAGAGTTCAGAAACAAGGGAGACAAGAAATTAATGACAGAAGAGAAACAAGGAAGAAGAAAGCTCCAAGCAAAGGGGGCATAGAGAGAGCACTGCAGTCTGCAGGCCTAGACGAGTAGTGAAAGCAGAGAAGGTAGGGGCTCGAGAAAGAGAGAGTAAGTAAATGGTGGTAGACTGGTAGTGTTCCTTTGCTGTTCTTCTTGTTCTTTGTGTTTAGCAAACAAACAAAAAGAAAATTGTAACAGCAGGTAATCAGATTAAATGGGATTTTTTTAAAGGAGAGAGGGATTTTGGCGCTAAATTGTGAAGGGAGGGAGGAACTGAGACTAGGGAGTAGGGACAGATCACAGACTCGTGAATAAAAAGAGGATTCAAAAAGTACAGTGATTTACTGGTAACATAGCCCTAGTAGCACAGAACAGAACTCCTCCCCAAAAGAAAACAGAGTAGTGGCCATTGCGATGGCCGATGAAGAAAAGACCAGAGGAAGCAATAAGCTAGCAAAAAGAAATGTATATCCTTTTTTATTTATGGAAGCAAACAACCATATTTGAATATTGGTTATACCATGGCTCTTTTTTTTTTGTGTGTGGTCTTTTTACAATATATATTTAGTGACTCAAAATTAGTTTTCGTGTTGAGATGCGACCAAGAGATGGAGATAAAAGAAGAGAATTGACGTTGTTACTTTCATTATCGTCCAGATTCGATATATTTTTTTATGAGAGACAGACGCTAAGAATGTAAAGTAATCGACACAAGTGACAAAAAAATCCAGCTCCAATCCAACAAGGAAAGTCAATTTCCACTTCAATCGCCAATATTTGTATTACATGGTCCAATATGAACATGTTTGATTACATCTTAAATCTTGAATGATATTGTTTGAGTCTAAAATGTTTTAGGCGATTGATGAGACATGAGTGAGGCGTCTGTTCCTGGTGGTGGGAAGGCACTCCTGAACCCTGCAAACAAAGGTCCGTGGGCGGTTGCCCATGACACTCTCGCGCCCTAAACATGTCCCATCTTGTAATAGACTGCCCACAGCGGGTAATTAATGTTCAGTCCTACTTGTATCGAGGCAAATATCCTAGCAGATCTCTCTCTTGTCACCATCGGTGCTTTGTGTCAAACGACTGATCTCTTGTCCCATCCGAGGATCAACCACCTAACGCGCTAATCGGTCTTACCTGCATAACTCCCAGGCTTCCCTGCTGAGCCGGGCCAACTGACTTTCTTCTTGGGACCTAATGCCCAATACCGCTCAACCACGTGGCCCAACAGATACCATTAGTGTTTTAGAGAAATTTCCACAAGTGAAGAGAGAGAATAAGCAAAGTCGATTGTTTTTTTTTTATGAATAAGTAAGTCGATTGTTTGAGCCTAATCTTCTGATACTTTGTGCCATGTCTGAGTTTCTGACTTTGATCATTCTCCTCAATTATGTATTTCCCGAAAAGAGAAATTTTAGGTATCAAACTATAATTTGCCAACAATCCATGAATCTACCACTTACGACTTTCTTTTCTTTCTCATGAATGAATGATATTATTGATAAAGATCAACCTGCCAAACCTTAAACGAAACTATAAATTACTCAATCTAAGCTACATCCAGAGATCAAATTCACTCCACTCTCTTGTATAGCGAAAATAATTTAGAAAAACAAGTAAATCGAATTAGATATACCATGCAGAATATCAAAATGTATAGACATGCCTCGAAATACAGGACAAATTATTGAACCATGGACAATGCCGATCTAATCGAGACCAAGAAACAGACACATGACCTTAATTACCATGCCAGAGGAAAAGTTGGAGGAGGTGAGATTGAGAGGGAGGGTAGCCCTGATGACAAGAAGAAGGAATTGAAAAGAAAGTTGGTTTAGAGTTCGGGTCGTATAATCGTGACGCCTTTGATACCGTAATAGACTGGAATAATATTATTTTTACTAACTCTAAAAAAAGTACATATACTATTACATAATACAACAAGAAAAGGTGTGGAGAGTAATCACATACACTATAAGAGGTACATGGTATGACAACATCTTATTTGCTACTTATATTGTGATTAAAACGTCATTGGTTCCATGTTGATACATAAGGTGGACTAGATTGTTAAGGAGCAGTTGTTGTATGAATAGCATATGGTTGCGTGCCTGAAGAAATTTGTAATATTAGTGTTGTGGAAATTATCAAAGTGGGAGATTGTTAGGAATTTTATTTTCTAACTTAAGTGTGCTACAAATTATCAACACATATATTGGCTATTTGTTTTTTATGGGCTAGGTTAAGTGTTCGATTCATGAAGCCTGATGACTGCTCTTGGGATTTTGATCAAGAATTTTGGTCCAAAATCCCACACTTATGGGATTATGCTTAAAGTTCATGTCTGGCACTAAAGTGGTGTTGGATTATGAGCTGTGGGACCAATGCATGTTGGATCCACGGATTATAAAATCTTACCTATTTAGGTGTGATTTTGTAGTAGGCTAGAAATCCATGAGAGTAAATGACAAAGCTAGCCTCAATCACTTTTTATTATTCTTATGTTGTCCTTATTATCTATTGTTAAGTCTTGTTAATTTTTTAGGGACCTCCTACGGTAACTTGGGTATAATTTCAAGTTAGGTAACTTGTATAGATCTAAACCGTTAAAATCTATCAAACTTAATTTAAACCATTGATTAAAGAAATAAAAAATTAAAAAATAAGTAAGAAAATAAAAGGCAACAGGGGTTGCCGGTCACCACTACACAACTTACCATTCTTATTTTTTTCGTTTCCATTTCAAATTTAGTTGTTTTCCATATTTTATTCTTTCCTTTTTTAATTCTTATTGAATTAGAAGTGTTACGTAAGGCTTCCGTAATAACTTAGATCTTTACGTAACATGACGTTAATGCTCATTACGTAAAGAGACCTTCCATTACGTAAGGCTTTTGTAAAGATATTTTACAACTGTTACGTAAAATATACATTCACTACGTAAAGGTTACGGAATGATAGTTATTTCTTACGTAACAGTTAAATCGGAAGCGTTACGTAAGGCTTCCGTAATGACTTAGCACTTTACGTAACGCAAGGTTAATACTCATTACGTAAAAAGACCTTCCATTACGTAAAGGTTACGTTACGACAGTTATTTCTTACGTAACAGTTAAATCAGTAGCGTTACGTAAGGCTTCCGTAATGACTTAGCATTTTACGTAACGCGAGGTTAAAACTCATTACGTAAAGATACATTCTATTACGTTAGGCTTCCGTAATGATCTTTTACAACTGTTACGTAAGATTATCATATATTACGTAACCATTACGTAATGCCTATTGTATTTTACGTAATATGACCTGTGAAACCTGCTATAGCAGGTAAAAAAATTCAAGTTACCTTACTTCAAGTTATGGTAGGAAATCCCTAATTTTTTATTGTGAAGCAACAACCTTACTCATTTCGCCTTCATCTCCGACATTTAAATCGCTTGCCTTTAAGTTAGTATGTACGATGTTCTTTTCTCCACGAGAAACAATACTCCTCTCAAAAACACAATCTTCCAAGAAAAAATCATTGAATTGAATACAAGCATGTTGAATACTAACCAACCCGTGTTCTTCTCTAGGAGATGGGGCCGAAACAAATGATACAAAGGGAGGAGGGATGTTTAATACTAACCAAATTTACCCATAAAAAAGCCAAAAACAAATCAAGGATAAAATTGTAAATTCAACCATTAACTAATGAATCCCAAGTACCCAAATCCAATATGAAATCCAACAAGCAAACAAGTACTTTTTAAAATACAAGACAAATCCAATATGACAAAATCCCACATAATCCTTCAAACACAAAATCAAGGGTTTTACCCAAATCCTTCATTTTTTAAAATCCCACAAACAAACGACCTCTAAGAGATTTTATGAGAGCTCTTGGTGGAATAGTATACAAAGACCATTCTAGAGGTTGTGGTCCCCAATACAACAAGACCAAACCTATTCTCATCTTCTCCCCATCAGTAAGATGAGAGATCTCCGGTAGAGGAACTGAGGAGGCTTGGTCGAGGAATGTCACAGAACCTCCCGGGTCGTGTTCTAAGAAGTAATGTCGGATTCAGATCGTCTTTCAGATTCCCTAACAGGTTTTTTGCGATCGATCGAAATAAATACATGTATTCCTACAAAACTTTGATAATATCCGTACTTTGATAATCTAACAACAAACAATAACCACAATAATCAAACCAACGACAAAGGTTTTTGTTGATCAAGTGAGCTACCTGCTCGACTGCTCTTACTTGCAACAAGTACAACGAATTTGTTATACACATTAAATCTTCAACTGCTCTGCATCAAATAAATTGTTCCACAAACACTTGAGTAACTTGCTCACTCGCTTTTAGATCACACGTAGCTCCATTGATTCCTTCACGTGCGATCTGGCTCTGCAACCCGCGATATCATATGTCCGATTCATATCGTCTTTCAGATTCTCCAGGCTCCCGATACCCGCGACCGCAGTCGTCAGCTCCGTGCATTCCGAGATCTTCAGACGATTCAGGTTCTTCTTGAGGCCGGATAGATTCGGCAGCTCCCGAATCGAGCTGCATTGCCACAGTTGCAGCTCCCCCCAGCGATTCCAGTTTTCCCACCACCGTGGCGTCGGTCAAGTTGGGGCAGAGGCCAACATTCAGGGACTTGAGCTTCCCGAGCTCGGACAGGGCCGACGGCAGCTTCCGAATCGACACGGAACCTGACAGCTCCAGCTCTTCCAGTGAAACCAATCCTTCCAACCCTGTAGTAACCTCCTCCAACTTCCTGCAATCGATGGTTTTCACCTTCCGCAGCTTGATCAGGTTCGCCAGAGTGGGGATTCTCTCCAGCGCGCCGCAATTGCGCACGCTTCTTGCTTCCCGCAGTCCCTCCCAGCCCTTCTTGCTGTCTTTCAGATCACAGTGACCCAAATCAAGAACGGCTAGTTTCCTCATGTTGAAATTAGTGTGGATCGATCTGCATCCAGACATTCGAAGCCAGCGCAGATTCGGAAGAATCTTGCTGAAATCGCCTGTCAATCTTCCTAGGCTCACTTCAAGATACCTTAAACCAGATAGCTTCTTGAAATTCTGATCCGTAAACACGACGTCTTTCTGATACATATCCAACATAAGAATTTCCACTCGGTCATTTCCCTGCAATGGTGAAATAATGCAATTACACACATGTGCTGAAATGTATTCAACTTTTTTAACCAGATGTTAATAGCATTTTTTCCCCCTTTTATCGGACATTTGCAATCACGGCTTTCTACAATGTTTCACCTGAGTAGTATTTTTTGTACTCTTTTATTATACTTTAAGGAATTGATGTTGTTTCGAAGAATAAATCGAACTTGTAATGCAACGTTAAAGATATAAGTTGTCAAATTGTCATTAGGTAAGGGCTTCGTAATGGGTTAATGACCTATTTCTCCGCTACAAACAAGACCCTGAACATGATTTTCTTAACTAAGACCTAGAGCGTGGATGCACAAACAAAAATGAACCAAAAATTAAAGAACTAGCCCACTTAATTATTATTATATGATTAACAACGCAAGTAAACCAAATCATAAATACTGTTCACCGCAATTAAATAGCCATAACCCCTGTTATATCGAAAACCCCAAAGTGTGCGCGAGTTAAAACCCCAAGCAATTTTTAATATATAGTGCTAATACCACTAGAAATACCAACCTTTAGCGAAAGTGCCATTTATATTATGAAATTTTCGATATGACAATTGTATACCAACCGTTAAGTTTTCCATTGGGGGTTAACAGAAAATACAGTCAACAATGACATGGCAGCTGACGTGGAAATTTTTAATAAAAACAATGTAAAAAAAAAAAAAAATCAAAGCTCGTCCACACCGTACCCTACCTCACCGCTCAGCCTCTCCCTCTCTCTCACATCTTCAAGCCGCCGCCTTCACCCAGCTTCAACGTCGCCGCCGCCATAGCCATCGTCAACTCTCGCAGATTGGGGTTTCGATGCAACCACTTCTCAAACTTCATCACCTCGAGGTAAGGCGGCGGGTTCGAGTCATTGAAGAACTGCTCCACCGGGTTGAACTTTTCCTCCGACTCGTTCCTCAAATACAGCCTCCAGGCCAACCGCCACAACGAGGTCTTCTCCAACTACGCCACTGATGGCAACGTCGCCAACCCCAGCTTCGGAACGGCTCCAGATCTATCGCCGACAATTTCAAGAAATACCAAAACTAAGTCAACGTGCCTGGTCTCCGCTTCACCACCTGCGACTCTGTCAGCAACGACCACAAGCTCGGTTTCTCCAGCTACAGCGACAACACCAATGCTTGCTCCCAGTCCTTCACCAGCAACGCCAACACCCCAGATGCTTACAACAACTATTCTAAAATCCACGCACAACTGTGAATCGATTCACAATTTGGATTCAAAATTGTGTTTCAGAGACAATTGATTGGGTCTGTCGAATTCGGCTAAGAAGGAAGCAAAATTGATTGTTGGGAAGAAGAATAAGTCAAGGCGGCTACTTCATTCTTCTTCAAGAACCCAGAATCATCTACCTCAGGAATCCAAAAAACGATGATGGTGGAACTACGGGGATCTCGTTTGCTTGGATTTGTGGGGAGCACCAGAAACTCTCGTGATTTCGTCAAGCCAAGAGAAGCGACCAGGGGCATTCTTTGTCGAATGAAGCCTACAACTGACGAATAACCCTCACAATTGGGACTGCTACTCTGCTCCAGATCGCCGTCGGCTGTGTCGAATGGTGGAGGGGAGGAGGGTTTGTCGCATTGGGTGGGTTAATTTAAGGGAGGAGCTTCCTCTATAGTGGTCGTCGGCGACTGTGGGGAGGGAGGGAGAGAGAGAGAAAGAAAGAAAGAGAGGGAGGGAAAAAGAGCTGATGTGGCACTTAGGTGGATGATAAATGGTGCCATGTCATTAAGAGTCAAACATGTTTTGACATCTGTTAGGTCAACCGTCAATTCTAACGGTCAACCAAAAATATGCGTAATACAAATGACACAAATACCTAATTGGTTGGAATATTTTTGTGTTTATTGAAGTTACGTATTATAAATGGCACTTTCGTTAAAGGTTGGTATTTCCAGTGGTATTAGCCCTAATATATAAGCTGAAAAATACTAAATCTGAAAACATTGTTCATAAAGCAGGAGGCAAAATTACCTTTTTGTATCTTAACAAGTCCAATGCAACTTCGTTGGACCATATCCTGCTGCATTTGTATGGATTTCTAACGTCCTCCTCTCTCACAATAGCTCTTCCAAGATCTCGAACATGATCATGCATCCAGAATTGATTTTTGTCATCAAGTTTCATCAAGGATCTTAGAATGAGAGTGTTAATCCCACTCTCTGAACTAAAATTGCAACTGCTCCACATGTGGCAAGGAAACTCTTTGTTCCTCCCAATAAAACAACAAGCAATATCAAGAAAGATTTGCTTTTCATTGTAACTCAAGTCATTGTAACTTATCTTCAACCGCTCCTGCACCCTATCTCCAGTAGAAGGTATGCATTGTAACTGTATCAAAGTTTCTTCCCAAAACTTACTCTCTCTACGAAATAAAAGTGATCCTGTAACCTTAAGAGCCAAAGGAAGCCCAGCTGCAACTTTTACGATTTCTGCAGTTAGTGTTGCATAGTCTTTCGGTGGATGATCCCTTCCGAAAGCATGTTTGGTAAATAGTTGGAGGGAATAATTAGGGCTCATTTCTCCAATTTCATACAATTTACACCCTATGAAAAAATCAAAAACTCTCTTGTCCCTAGTTGTGAGAATAAATCTACTATCTAAAGAAAAATCCCCTATTTTCCCTAAAATTTTATCAAATTCAAACCTATCATCTACATCATCAAGAACGACAAGAACTTTGTGCTTGCATACTCTCTCTTTTATCAATTTGATTCCTTCACTAACATCTTTAACCAGATAATCATGTCTTAAAATGCTAGAGATAAGCTTGTTTTGCAAAGATATAGCTCCATCACTTCTTGTTAATGTGTCTCGTACATTTTCAAAAAACAACAACGATCAAATTGTGTAGAAATCTTATTATAGACCGCTTTGGATAAAGTGGTTTTGCCTATACCACCCATTCCGTGAATACCAACGACTTTCGGATTGTCCGCCTCTAAGTTCAGAAGTTTCATTATTTCTTCCACATGCGTATCAATACCCACTAACTCATCAGTCATTAACGTGTAAATACTCTTCAAATGTAATTCAACCTCAGAAAGAACTTGGTCTATTGTAGCCCCCCCCGTCTGGAAATTGAACACAAATTCAATTTGGTATCAATCTCCAATGTGTCGAGATAAACAAGCTAAGGAAGAAAGTGGAGAGAAGCTACAATATGATATCAAATATGTAAAGACTTCTCCACCAAGAAAGATATATGGAGTTGAGTTACTCTCAATCTAATCATAGAGGTGGCAAATGGATTGTATTTATGGATTTGGATCAAATGAATTGGTGAATTCATTGATTGGTGGATTGGATCGTGGATCCAAGTGGCATCTAAATATTGGACCAATATGAAGATTTACTAAAGTGTTACAATGAAAATTTTTAGGTATCATAACATAAATTTTCAATTATAGTTTTCATCAAAGAATAATTTATAGGTACTAAACTGTTATTTTTCAAATATTTATCAATATAATCCATGAATCCACCTATCTAATTGAGTTCAGATCAAATGAATTGAATTAACCAAAAAATTTAATAGATAGAGTTTGGGTACTAAAATATAATTTTTCATATATCTGTTTGTTGATTTGGACCGACCTGCAAGTTTGGCTGGACACAACCCAACGCAACCTAAGTGGGTTATACAGGGTCAAGAGAAAATAGGGTCGGGCTAGATTTTTCAACTTGGTCCTATATATAATCTAGTATTTGAGGGTAGTTATAGTTCTTGAGTAAAAAATGAGTTTGAACCAGTTTCACCCCTACGTGATACTATGTAAATAGGACCAATAGGAGATAAGAAATAAATTTACCCGTCTGATTGCATGACATGCCATCCTTTCATTTTCGAAACCACTTGGAGGGCTTCTTTCCATTCCTCTACCAATTTAGGGTTATAATTCTGTGAGTGTCGCTCAAACGCCTGCTTGTATGTTCCCTCTTGATGTCCCACTTCTCTAGGCTCTACAAAGAAGAAGATGGGGAGGATGAGGTGCCCCTTCTCTTGCTTCCAACATTCCACCATTTTCGCCAACTCTTTAAGGCACCATTTGCTGGAGGCATATTGTTCTGTCAAAATAGGAATGTAGATCTTGGATTCGCCGATCGCCCGCAGGAGGCCGGGAGAGATCTCTTCCCCCTTGTGAAGTTCTTTGTTGTCTCTGAACGTGCGGATTTTAGAACGCGATAGGAAGGTGTAGAGGTGATCGGCGAAGGTATTGCGGACGTCGGGGCCTCTGAAGCTGAGGAAGACCTCGTACTCTCCCGATGGCAGAGGAGACGCAGGCATAGAATGGTGACTAACTACAATGCAACAAAAGAAAGGAGGAAGACATATAAAGATTATGATCAATTTTTGTGTCGAGATGTAGCAGTCGCGAAACTGAAGGCGGCTCATTAGCTCCGAAAGATGAAAAACCATCGTCGTGCTGATTAAAAATGGAATCAAACATACCTTCAACTCCTAAGAACTTATATTCTCTTCTGATATTTGGTATTGAATATCAAAATTCAGAAACTCTCGATCTCTCAAAGGTGTGGCTATTTTGACTTGGGATTAACTACTAAATAAATGAAAGAAGACCAATTGGCTCTATAAATAGATTGACGTCGCTTCCATGAGAGGTAAAGTTAGAGGTTAGAATAAATTCTTGGAGTTGTGAAGCAAGTGAAATATCTAATGCTTCCCTTGAATCAAAGACACGACAAGAACTTACTCTTGTAAGGGAATTTGATACTTGCCTTTCCAGTTTGGACAATTAACGGATTAAAGAAGAAAATGAGGTACTCCCGTAAGCCACATGTAACGGTATAAATGAGTCGAGTCAAGTCGAGTTTAATCTAAAATGAGTTTGGCTAGTTAATAAACAAGTCGAGTTTGATCTCATCTTATTTATGAAATATTTTGGTTTGTGCTTGACTCATTAATGAGCCCACGAGCTCTAGTCGAGTTCAGCTCGTCAATTAGCTTGCGAGCTCGACTCGAGCTCATGTTATCATATCATTTAGTTCATAATTTTTAATTGTTCATAGCATGTTGTTTATAGAGAAATTTATAATGCATAATTTCCCTTTTATATTATATGAATGAGACATTTGATAACGTGTTCAAATTCTCAAACATTATATTTGGTGAGATATGTAATATAACAAATATATGAATTAGTTGCTAGTTGAGTTGGGTCGTTAGCTATACGGTCGAGCCAACTCATAGGTCAAAAATGAGCTAGCTCACGAGTTGAGCTCAATAGGTCACCGAGCCAGGTTGGCTCACAAGTCTTTCGAGCCAAACAAGACTTACTTCAAGTTTGTGGAGTCCCTAACCTAATGGCCTTATCATAGGCCTACCAAGACTGGCTTGCCGACCCTATCAGACTTGCTCCAGCTCATTCACTTGGATCCAAGAGATTCCTCTTAGTTGGCCATGATATACCGTGTAGTGGGGCACCCTTAACGTTTAGGCGCTGAGTTATAAAATTTCCTGGTGATTTTCACGACACGCATTCCATATCATCATGTGCTTGGGGATGCCGTTTCATCCGTGGCAAAATAGGAAGTTGGGTAAAGCAAACTCCCTCCCCTGGACGAGCACGAGGCTTAGTTTAGTATAACTGTGTTGTGCTGCTTGATGCTCCGATTGAAAACAATTACATGGGGTCATATGTCGGTACGACTGAATATACATTAGAAAGGGGAATCCCTCTCCTACGAACACAGTGCCTAACAATATTTTTTTTCCGTAACTAATGTCGAGCCGATCGTGAGTAGTTTGACTCATTTGCATCGCTGCCCATTTGACACGCAAAGAAAGTAGTAGTAGACTAGTAGTGCTCTTATGAGCCTCCCCAAAAGCCCAACTGACCCCTTCCCGGCCCAAACGAACATGGCCCACGAAATCTCGAGCCCTTCAACTACTCTCTCAAGCTTCTCCCCGTCAACGAGCTTAAGTCAAGGAGGGATGGATTCCTTTCCTATGGTTCCAAGAAACCTGTAGAGTGGTGGGTCCTCCATTTTCCCTCCCCCACTGCCCTGCTTCCTTCCAACAAACCCTCAAATTGATTCGCCTTTGTGAAATGCAAATTCATTTCTTCTTGCTTGTATTCAACCAAATCCCCTCCCCCTCCGTTGAAATTTTCTAATCGGCGGCCATGTCCGACGGCACCGCCGACACCTGCTGCAGGTGCTGCAGCAGCTTCATACTAACCAGCGGCCTCACCGCCCTCTTCCTCTGGCTAAGCCTCCGCACCTCCACACCGAAGCTCTTCCTCCAAAACATCTCCATCCCGTCCCTCAATCGCTCCCACCCAATCCCTCCGGCGGCGACGGCGAACTCCTCCTCCGCCGCCCTCCTCTCGTTCGATCTGCGGCTGGAGAATCCCAACAAGGACAAAGGGGTTTACTACGACGCCGTTAAGGTCGCCTTCTACTCCATCGACGGCGGCAACAACAAGAGCATCCCCTTGGGTAATTTCACCATCCCGCCGTTCTACCAGGGCCACCAGAAGAAGGCCACCAAGAGCGGCTCCCTCAACGCCACGGCCGCCGCCACGGGGGCGGCGGCGATTCTCCGGCGGGGCAACGATTCGTCGTCAACGCCGCGTTCCTTCCGGGTGGATATCGCGACCCGGGTTAGGTACAAGATCATTTTCTTCAAGACCAAGCGGCATCGGATTGCGGTGGGAGCTGATTTCCAGGTCAACGACCAGGGGACCAAGGTCAACTCCAGGGATGTGAGGCTGAAAACGACGCCGTTGTGTTGGGGGATTGGTGCTCTAGTTCTCTCCGTTTTGGTTTTTTGAAGTCTTTTCTTTTGGATGTTCTTTTGCTATGCAATTTCCAAGTTATGTGATTTTTTAATCTATGGATAAATTTAGACAATGACCTTAGACTTCTCAGTTGAACTTCACCTAATCCCAAGTCGAGAGATTTGTTGTAAAGCTGGGAGCTTTACTCCTTGCTGCAATCTTTACTTGCTTCAGGTTCTGGTTTTTCTGCTCTTTTCTCAGTCACATCTCCAGCTAGTTCAATCAAAACAAAACGCTGAGATCGAAATTCGATACCTTTTGTTACTCGGGTTTTCGACATATGGCGGTGATGTCTCGTTAACTCATAGCAACTGGTTTCGAAAATTTCGTGGTTGAGGGCGGAGTCACTTTGTACATTAACACGACAGGTAGTATATATCTTGATCTCTTGCCATATGTAAGTTAGCAGGAAAAAAGAAAAGGAGTGCAAAGTATCATCTGTTCTCCCCAAGTTACAAGTTACAATTGTACATCATAATCATAAAAAAGAAAAGAATCAATCTTTCTCCATTTCTCTTCTTCTGACCCTGTTTTACGCGTGGGAAGCAGCTAATCTGGTGGGTATTCACACTGAGAGCCAGTACAACAAAGATAAAAACTTTTATAAAAGAAACCGATTTATAAAGAGAAACAAAAATATTGGTAGAAGAAAACAAATCCATCTCCACCAGATGCCTTGTCTACCAAGGCATCATCAGGTGGTTGTAGGAGTAGTACTAGCCAGTGTACTAGAAGGGATGCTGATTCCAGCCCCTCTAACAGATACGTTGAAGATCTTGTTTCCCAAGCCACCATTGGTCGTCGCCGCCCGGCTCACGAGGTTTGAGTCGAGGAACAATACGATCACGGTGATGTCGTCGTGGAAATGGCGACGAACCCCGCGGTCGATCTTCTTCAAGTCTGAGTACCTCATTTCCCTCTTCTTTGCTGCTTCTTGTAGTGCAGTCTTCACCAGCCTCCTTGCAATCCCCTGCCACCATGAGAAACAAAGGTAAGTGACCAACCAAATGACTTGCATTCCAAGAAACCAGTCACATAGTAATAACCCTACACATCCTCAGTGCACACAGTGCTTATGACAGCCTTCTGAAGAAAATGTTGTTGTGCTTTCAGTGTCCCTACCCTCTAATCAAAATTCTAATAGGTCCCAAAACAAGGCAGTGGTGTTAATATGGTATAATAGAAGGCCAAGAACACTTGAGACTACCCCAAGACTTTGAATTCATCCTCTCAAGACAATCCAAGGAGCAGAATGAGATTGCTAGAAACAAGAAATGAAATTAGAGGATAGTGAAGATGTTGTACTTACACTTCGCGGATGATTCTGAACTATATCGACTGCCTCTTGATTGCTTAGATGCTCCCACAGGCCATCAGATGCGAAAATGACAAATTGATCGACCGGTAGTAGTTTATGTACTGAAATGGAGGGATCGGCACTCAATATAGGTCTTTTGAATGGTTCCCGAAGCCTAAACTTCGCATATAGAGGCTCCCGGTTGAACTCAGCCTTCTTCAAGTATACGTCACCTATGGATCTGGATATCTGCAAGTTCAGTAATTCCCATCATCACACGGAAACCCAACGGTCTCTGAATACATATCATTGATCTAGAGCCTAAGCAGCTAGCGATGAAGCCTATAAGAAACCAACTGAGTACAACTGGAGTTCACAATTAAACCCACCTAGATGTCTCAGGATCTTAATATCAATTGCAAAGTTCAGCTTTCAACTGACCAGTTATACAAAATTACAAATAAGCCCATGATAGGGCTAGCATAGCATGTTGGAGCGATCCGATCAGTCAATGCTGTCTAACCAAAATTACTTTCCACTCCCACAAATTTCAATCCTAATTTTATTTCAAAGAGTAGAAATCCAGCAAGACAGAAAACATGGAATTTTTAGTTAGAACACATCAATCTATGTCTAAAGCAGAAGGAGAAAGCTTTGTTTTACAAGTCAAGCATGTTTGGAAACCCGAACTTTCACATTCTACAGGGATAGCTCTGCATTAAGAAGAGAAGACTAAAAGGAGAGAGTTTGGTCCATGTAGGCTCACCTGTATAAGGCCTTTCACACGCCATACGTTATGCTTCAAGACCACAATATTTGAGTCATCGGGATGCATAGAAAACAGCTCCTGCCTTACAGACTCATAGCTTGCATTGTGCTCAGCTGACAGCTGAATGGACAAAACTTCTCCTGTCGCCTTCACAGCTCTACCTAAAACAGCCCGGGAATCACCAAGGTTGGCTATGTAAAGGTTTTCATTGCAAACAACACCCACCAGGCAGCACGAACCAACTGCTGCAATCTGTGGCTTCATCGACCATTGTCTCGTCACAACCGATAGGAAGCCCTCCTCCGTTGCTTGAAATGCTTTTCGAATTACATCTGCTGACATAGACTGTTGCTCTGAAGTAAACCCTGTAAAAAGCCATCCCATCTTAAAGTTATCTCCACAGAAAGATATCCAAATACTACTACTGCCAAATATCCATTAACTTCACGGAAACATAGTAAGAATACACTTACTCTTGAGATGCTGAAACAGGTGATCATTGACATAGCGAGACGTCTCAGGGCCACCATGCCCATCATAAACACCAACAAAAGTACCAAATGGACCAGAGTCGTTCGAGCTCAGACTTCCTGACTCGAGCTGACTCTGGTCCTCAAGCAAATTGTTGGCCTGCACTACTGCCATAGAGAACTCGCCATTCACATGCTGCCCATGGTCTTTGTACCACAACAGCCCCTCCTGTCGACCACTGGTTTCAGGATTCGAGTGACCATATTGATCGGAACTCGGCCGAAAACAAGCCCTCAATAAGCTCATCAAGCCAGATAACATCCCTCATCTCAACCAAACAGCCATCCCAACTTTTTTTGGCAAGTGACAAAGCACCTAATCATCAGCATTTAACAAAGCTCTTGACAGCAGAAATCTCAGTTTCTAAATCCTACCCTCTTCACCGCTCTTCAACCTTCACAGAACAAAACAGAAACACAAATAAGCCCTTCGAGAATACCCAATTCACCAACAAACAAAGTCCCTCAAAACTTCAGACGCAGGGGGGAAAATGTAAACAAGCACTACACACCTATAAACATTTGAATGCAGCCTAAACTTGGATAGCAAGAGTTCAACACAATAGACCTAAAACCCTTCCAACTAAACCAGTCAATTGTACAGGATCTAAAGCAGCCGCCTTTCACTTCTGCTGGTTTCAGACGTGAATTCGCAGCAGAACCATACACAATTGTCGACCTCTAGAAGAACCAAAGCCGCAAATGATGGAAAAATCAAAACACGAGACCCAAATTAGTGAGGAGCAAGTAAAGAGGAACACGGGAACTGGGTAAATTGGACATTTGATTGGTCACCACATTCAACAGAGAAAGATATTGGTCAGTTTCAGGCCATTTAGGGGGGCAAACAAAACACCAAGGTTAGAAACTTCCTCCAGAAGGTCCAACCTTTCACATTGAAGCCATCAAAAATCCCATTTCGAGAGGACCAAATCCCAACTTGGTACGAACCAATCAACCACCAAAATTCAACTAAAACTTCAACAAAAACAAGCATCCTCTTTTCTTCCTCATTATCTACCCCCTAGGGACTTACCTCTGGACCAAAATTAATCAATCAATCAAAATCTGAATCAGCTTTCTCCCCCCACTCTTTCCAAAGTCCCTACCTTTATTATCACCCAACAGTTGAGGAACAAACTTCATGTGAGTTAGATCTGTGGATCCTTCCTCCAGAGGTAAGGGCTGGGGAAATTTTAACAGAATCACAACAGGAAATCACAAAGTGGGCTTTTGAGGGGGTTTTCCTTTTCTTTCTCGTTTCCCCACAACTGGTGTTGAGAAAGGAAGGAGGAGGAAGAAGATGGAATTAGGAATGGGAAGTGAAAAAAAATGGATGTGGGTTCTCGATAAAGGTCAAGCCTTTGTTAAATTAAGAAGATGAAGAAGCCCGTCGGCCCCCCTAACTTTCTCTCTCTATTCCCTCCTCTCTCTCTCTCTCTCTCTATCTAACTAAATTTTTCTTTTTTGCTTAGCAGACAAGCCCCATAAAAGACCAACAATGGAGAGCTAGGAAGCCAGCAAAGCAGAGGTCCAGTTTTGGGCTCCACAACCCCCCCCCCTCTCTCTCTCTCTCTCTGTAATACCAGAGCAGCTAGACTGCTAGAGAGAGAATATCCGATGGGAAGATGAAAGAAACCACCAGGAAAGAGATAGAGAGAGAGGGAGTCAATGAAAATTGAAGAAGAAAAACCCCTTTGGATAATGATACCACGCACGGTAAACAATTTTTTTTCTCTTTTCTCTGGGGGTATTATGTATACTTTTTTAATTATGGGGATTAGCATGAAATTTGGAATTCACGTGAGTCCACGTGGGGTGCGCCCGCCACGTGTCGGTTCGTCAACGGGGGTGGCACGGTCGGAGCCGGTTCACGGGTTTTATTGGCCGGCGGGGAGAAGCGGCGGTGTTCGGTAATTTTGGCGCTGGCGGGGGTGAGGGGATTGAAACTTTTACGGTTGATGAGGTGGCGGATGGTGATTGGCTGATGGGAAATTTTGCGTACGTGCACAAGATCTGAATCTGTCGTCACACTCCTTTGAGTCAAAGTCAGAGCGATCCGGATGATCCAACGGCTGTGGGAATTTCTGGAAGAAAGGAAAATGGAAATGAAAGGTAGTAATGAGCTGGGAACTGTGATGGAACACTGAAACAGTAGCAGTAGAGGATCATAAATATGTTTTTTTTTAATTTATTAATTTTATATATTTGGCCACCGAAAATAAGAATTTTGCAATGAAATTTTATATGGCAATTATAAAATTGTCACTTGGTTGTTGATTCTAGTTGGATTATATTGAAATCCTAACTCCTAGATTATCGATACATAAAAATTGGGTGCATTTTAACTTAAGCATACAATTTTCTAAATTTATGATAATGAAGTAAAGGTTTAATTGTTTACTCTCGATCGGACTTTATTATAAACCCGAACGGATGAGGTTTTTAAATATGGGTGATCTGATTAATGTAATTGTGTATGAAATAGTATGCTTATGTACCAAAGCAAACAAAATGCATACCCCGAATTTCAGAGGATAAACACCGAGAAAAAATCATACCATGCCGCCATTCAAATTTCAAAGGTTAATTGAACCAAACGATAGGCATAATTCCACCCACACAAAAGAAAACATTGATTATTGTCAATTTGACATATATGCATGTATCACAAATGGGGAAATTGTCACTTTTTATTTTACTTCTACTCATGGTGGGCTCAAGAGATAGGGTGCATAACCATGGGTTGGGTTATGCACCCATCAATAACCAAATCTGGACCCTTCATTTAGAAAATCTAGATCTAAGGATGGAGAATTAAAAGCTATTTTTATTTTCACTAGATTTCTTAATTGACTCATACCTTTTTCGTTTTAACTCGGATTTTAATTTTTTTTGCACAGATGGAACGAGTTCACCGTGCTCTACAAAATGAGATCAATTTTCAATATTTTTTTAGGAAAAAAAATTCTGGCCTCTCGGTACCAACTGCATACCATATGGTATCTTATTCGTTTTTAATTCGTTTTTGAAAACGTTTGCACAGCAGGGATGAGTTCATCATGATCTTCTGGATCTACAAATTTCTGGGTGAACAAATTACAGGACCAAAAAATACCACACAATACCATACAATACCACCCTGGTACAGGGTGGTATTGTATGGTATCTTCTTCATTTTTAATTCGTTTTTGAAAACGTTTGCACAGAAGGGACGAGTTCATCATGATCTATTGGATCTACAAATTTCTGGGTGAACAAATTACAGGACCAAAAAATACCACACAATACCATACAATACCACCCTGGTACGGGGTGGTATTGTGTGGTATACAATGTTAAAAGTCGTAAATTACAACTAATATACTTCTACTATCATGTATTCAACCATCCTACAGTATTGGTTTGTCTATACCACCATGGTACGTTTTTCAAAACATAGGTATGCTTTTATTTCAATACCAGTCAATACCATATGGTATAGGCTGATAAAAAATGGCTCAATTTTTTTTTGTTCGAAAAATATATTAAAGTGGATATCATTTTGAAGAGCACAATTAATCTGATCTAACTGTGCAAAAAAAATTAAATTTCGACTTAAAATGAGTGAGAAATCGTCCGTCAAAAATTAAAGAGGGAAAAATTAAAGGCTTTCCATGAGAGAGAGGATGCTGATGTCATGCTGATGTGGACGGGTTACTCATGGTTACTCACCATAAAGTTACTGACCTGATCCATTCCCCTCATGGTGATAGTAAATTAGTAATGTCCCTTCCTCCCAGTTTGGAACAGAAGAAACAAACAAAAAAATGGTTAATAAAAACATAATTAAATATATATACTTATTACAAAAATAATTATTATTGAATTTCATCCCTCTTTTTCCCCTCTTATCGGGCTGCTGCCTCAAATTTCTGGACCACCCCACCCAACTTAGAAATTAGAATGGTGGCAAATCACGACAAAAATTAATAATGATATATAATGATCAATAAATTCAACCAAAAATAAAGAAAGGGATAAATTAAATTTGCTAGCTGGGAAATTGGGTGCAGAATGGCAGCTGGAACTTGGAAGCGTGACCTCATAAAAAGAGCCAACAATAAGCAGTTTTGGCTAATCGATTCTGCATTTGGGCAGAAGCCTATTTTTGGGTTTGTCTTCCCTCCTTTCATCCTTTTTTTCACGCGTTTTTTCTGTTCTTCCAAACCATTAAGAGGAAGAGGAAGCAATGTTCAGTTAGGGTTCATCGAGAGTGTGGTCGTGACCAAGTCTTAAGATGTGGACTCGTGATTCGAGGAGGGGAGAACGACGAACCAGAAAACCCGTTACAAAGGGCTTATCGGAATTAAAATTATTAACGATATCATGAGAAATGAGATAAAAGGCATAACTGGAGTAGAGGAACCCAACAAGCTCGTTACAAGGTTCGTTGAGATTGAAGTGATGGTGATATCATGAAAAGCTTAAAGAGTAACAGAGGAAGTGGGAAGTGGTCGATCGTGCGAGTTCGATAACGGTTAAGAAGAATAATGTAAGAAGAGCAATGGTCAGCACAAGTTTTTGCATCCAAGTTATTTCATCCGCGAAGCTTCATAAAAGTGATAACTATGTATAAGCAAGAAGTACTAATTAAGTTAAAGAAGTAATTTTGCGAGTTTGGGGTGAAAAGAAGGGAAGCCGGTGGGAAGTATATATAGATACGTGTTTTCCAGGATCTCACACGTCGGCACGATTGGTGATTCGTGATATAGCAAAAAGGTATAGCTAGCATTGTTTACGCGTACAAACGCTTTCACTGCCCGTTTTAATTTGTTGGATCATTTCATGAAGTGTCGAACTGCGAGTAGCTTTTCAAGGGGATGTGAAAGTTTTCATTGACAAGGTGAGGCAAGCAAATGACCAGGATGCGAGGACGGAAGGGAGTGATTTTCGAAGTAATTTTCTCGGTTCAGTCAGAAGCATCAGTTTCTTTCAATCCTGTAGACAAAACAATCTAACGGTCTCATTGGGTTTTAATTTTCGTCTATGGGTATTATATTGTTATAAACTTTTGTATCTTCGTTTTCTCGGTAAAACAAGTGAACTATGGGAGGAAAAACTGGTTGTTGTCAACTGGAAACAGTTGTGCATAGTGCCCCGCGTGACAATGACCATATGGAGAAGAAGAAGAAGAAAAAAAGACCCACCAACAGTGGTTAACGTTAGGTATACATATGTATATACATGCAAACGTATAATAACAAATTAATACACAAATAATAATGGATGGATATGGAGGTATATGTAAAAAAAAAAAATACTAGTTAGTGGGAAATGTTAGGTCTTCATCAAAAGACAGTCGCAAACGGATCTTCTTGTCTGCTTTTTTATAAATTTTGGTGTCACCTGTTGCACGCTCTAACACTGTTGCCGATTGTCTAGCTGACCAGATGATGTAAATTCATGGTCTCCCCTTGACAACGAAATATGAGGACTAGCTAGTAATATAAATCGATCGATCGATCTCCATCACCAATAATTAGCAAGCAAAAGATCGGTGATTGATTGGTTAAATTGATTGGCCATCTAATATATAACTTTTTTTGAAACTCAAGTCAATTATTTTAGTACTTGTTTCATTGGAGAAAAGAAGCAGGGTTGTAACCACTTGATCAAAGTCATTGACTCTTTCTGAATATCACCATTCAAATCCTTACTAGAGCCCAAATAGAAACTCTAGCCAGGTGTAGTATAGAGCAAGTATTTAAATGTCAAACCCGGGCCGGACCATGTACCCCCACTTTAACAGTTTGAAATATTGTCTAGCAATAAAAATAAAAAAAAACTTGTCTAGCAATCAAATTTTGATTAAAACTATGGATTACAATTAAAAGCAATTGGAAAGGTAAATGGTTTTGAATACTAATTGAGAAGGCTTCACCCGGGTGTTGCCCCCCTGCTAGTTATCAAGATTAGTATAACCGAATGCAAGTGTGTGGTAAAAGTGGTTGTAAATCGTAGGGAAGCGCAACTAGTGAAGAAGTTTCACTCTCTTGGTCGATAGGCCAAGGGATATCAAATCAAGCTACCAAAGTAGCTCTCTTGGCCAATCGACTAAGGGGTTGCCTAGGATTCTCCCTCGAACCATAGTCCAGACGGTCAAAATACAACCTATCCAAGGTGCTAAAACATAGTATGAGGTTTGCCCTACTTAAGCCTAAGTAGGTGGCTCAATTTGGCCAAGGAATTCCGGTTTTTGAAAGCCTCTTAGCAAGAAGGGGATTTCCCTCTACCTAAGTCAAGTTGGCATAATAGTTGGAAATGGAAAACACAACACATCATGAAAATATCTCAATACTTGCATTAAAACACAAAGCACACACAAATCATTTAATTCATACAAACAATCACATGATTCTAGCTAGAGTTCACAAACACCCAAGTGAAAGAAGGGAACTACTTTATGTTAAGACTAGAGAATACACAAAGGAGAAGAGAAAATACCATCTTGAGATGTTTGCCTTCTTCCTTCTGTGTGGAGATCAACCTTGGAGGATGAGATTCCCAAATCCTGTAGTTTGGATGAAACCCTAATCTTATTCTCCTCTCTTGTTCGTCACTCTCTTTCTCTCTAGA